AATATAATTATAGTATAAATAAGATAATTCTAATTAATGCTTTCGTTCAGTTAGCAAGACAATTTTTCCAAGCCGCTTCAAATTTGCTCGCGTTTCAGTTAACGGTCAATTCTCATAGTGTCATATTTTTATCTTGACAAAGCTTTTTTAATCAGGAAATCTCTAATTAAAACTCTTTCATTTAGAATACATATATATATATATATATATATATATATATATATATATATATATATATAATATAAAAAAAATTTATACATAACTTTTGCTACCAATTTCTTGTACAATGAATTGCATTATCGGACATGCAAATGAGAAAAAAAAAATATATGTATGATGCATTATAACAAGTAGTTTTCTAATCTCGACGGTTCATAAAACAGTAATATATTCGGTTGGGAAAAATAACGACAACGAAATAAATACAAAAATATTCAACGATAGGTTCACTCTGAGTTCACTTTGTAATGTCAACCTATATGTAATTAGATATGTATCGAGGCTAGTATGGTTATAGTCACGTAAGCTTGACATATGCTCATTAATTATTGTCGTTGGTAATTGTGTAGAAGGAAAAAAGAAGTTAAAACCACAATGATTTTACTTTCAATATGTATATAATCCTATAAAAAGTAGAAAAAAAAAAGTTTTCAAAAAGAAACAATTAATTTACACTTTTTGAAAAAATAACAAAACTTCTATTTATCCTCCAGAGTTTAATAAACTCTTTCATTTTCATAAAACTATAGAAAAATTAAATATAAGAATAGTTATTAAATATATTTAAAAATTAACTTTGTAAGTAAGAAAATTAAATTAATTTTCCAATATTTCCTTGAATTTTGATTTATTTATCCCGCACTGATTAAAACTAAATTAGATACTCTTTTAATAAATGAAATAAATTTCCATTTAGATTTTTTTTTTTTTGTGAATTATATTCAGAGCACGAATAATCGAATCAAAAGTAATTGTGTTCTCAATAAACTGAGAGAAAAAGGAAGGGAATGAAAGGGGGATTTATATATATAGATAAAGAGTGTATTCTTTAATTCATGAGATTGCAGGTGAAGAAGATCGTCCACAAATTACTGACAGGGATGAGAGGTTAGTGGACAGAATAAAGGTAGAAAGGATCAACAAAAAAAAAAAAAAGAAGAAAAAAAGACCATAAAAATGTTGGAAATGGGATGAGGGAGACTTGGTGGTAAAATGGAGGGAGTAGTTGAGATGGCTAATAACATTTGAGGGGTGGGTGGTTTCGATTCTCCAGGATCACCTACTACTGACGATTGTCGTTCTCTGAAGTTCTTCTCGCCCTCCTATGGAATAAGGGCTAAAGTATTATTTCCACAGAAGGCACTGTTGGTTTCAACATCTAGCAAAAAAAATTTTTTTTTTTACTAGACATCTTTTCCCTCATAAAAATAAATAAGCCGGAGTCTGTTGATCCTTGGGAAATTGCAGGACTTTTCCCTCATTTCTGCCTCTCAACGTTTTACGTCCAAGTCCCATTTTTCCCTTGTAGAAAAGACTATCCTCCTTGACTTTTTTCATTTTCTCTATCCCCCTGTACATACATATAGAATATATATATATATATATATGTATAGCAAGAAAACTAAAAGACGGTTTCTTCATCATTCCCGCATCTGAAGTCACCATATTCGTATCCATAGTGAATGTTGAAAGAAAAGTTATTTTCTAACACCATTTCTCATTTAATACATTTATATAGAGAAGGAAATTTTCATTCTGCATGAGAAATTGAAAAATCAACCCTTTTTTCTCGTATATTTGACAGATGTAATTTTATTGATGCGCTAGTGATCCAGAGGTTATCTATATAGACTGTGGATGTAAAAAAAAAATAGATAGAAAGATAGATGATATAGCGTACGAGTAAAAAATGATTGGGATTTTCACATATTATTTATTTTGTGCACGTCATTTATTTTAAGTATAGAAAATATACTTTCTTAAAAGAATTTTATGCAAATAAATTTAAAAAAAAAATACTTGATGATAAATTTTTAAATCATATCATTGAATTTAATTAATTGAAATAATAAAATTATTCATTATGTTTGTGAATTAATAAATAGAATATTTAAATTATTTATTTAGCTATTGAAAAATGACAATATCGTAATCATTATTTTCTAAGTAAAAAAGATTGACTTTCCAATATCAGGAGAACATTATTTTGAGGAGTACGTATAAAGTTTCTTCTTCGATGGACTAATTTTGAAACGAAAAAGATAAAGAATAAGGGGGAAATAAAGAGAGGGAGAGAGAGAGAGAGAGACTGAAAAGTCAAATGAACCATAAATTTAAAATTGACCAATCGTAAACCACAGACCTTGCCTAAGTGGAAATTTAAATTCCACTTAAATTTTAAATAACGAGGGCGCAACCTGGTCGCAGTGCTCTCAACTTTCTTCCATGGGATGCAATTTGGAAATTTATGACGTAAAAGTTTTCGGTATTCAGTATTTAAAGAAAAGCAGTTCTTTATTTCTTTCTAATAGTTATACTTGTTCTTGAAAAAAAATTTTGCTTTCAAATGAAAAAATTTTTAATAATTTTTAATTAAATATTCAATTATTTTTAATAAATGAATTCTAATTAGGTGGAATTTCATAAAACAATTGTGACTATCAATATTAACAAATTAATTTAATTATGTAAGTAATTATTAACATTTGACAAATTAATTAATTTAATTACACTAACAAATTAAATTAACTTATTAAACAAATTAAATTAATTATTTGAAAGAATTAATTATTTAACTATTTTACTGTATTCATTTAATTACAAAAGCATACTAATTTATATTCATAAACGAAATAATTGAATTACATAATCGAATTGATATAATTAAAGTGTATACAATTAATTTAATTACACAAAACAAACTAATGTAACTTCGGGAACAAATTTAATTAATTGCATGAACGAATTAATTTCATTATATAAACGAATTAATTTAATTTATTAATTAAATTAAATTAATTACTTGAACTAATTAATTGTTAAATTATTTTAACAAATTTATTTAATTGTCGAAATATAATTACAGAATCGAATTAATTTGCGTGAACATTTTAATGAATTCATTTAATTACATAGCCTAATTAATTCATATACCTATACCTAATAATTTAATTACATAATTGAATTGATTTAATTAAATTACCAAATTAATTCAATTATACAAACAAACTAATGTAACTTCAGGAACAAATTTAATTAATTGCATGAACGAATTAATTTCCTTATATAAACGAATTAATTCAACTTCTTAAATTAATTAATTTAATTACTTGAACTAATTAATTGTTCAATTATTTTAACGAATTCATTTAATTGTCGAAATATAATTAGAGAATCGAATTAATTTCATGAACTAATCGAACTAATTTAATAGCATAATCGAAATTATTTAATTAAATTGCTAAATTAATTTATTTATACAAAACAAACTAATGTATCTTCGAGAACAAATTCAATTAATTGCGTGGACGAATTAATTTCATTACACAAACAAATTAATTTACCTTCTTAAACAAATTAAATTAATTTCCTGCACTAATTAATTGTTTAATTATTATAATCAATTCATTTAATTATATACTTCCGGAACGAATTAAATTAATTGCATGAATGGATTAATTTAATAAATTCTAACGTAATATAGAACTCCTTTAACAAATTAAATTAATTACTTTAACGATTTTATTTAATTACATAAACAGTTTTATTTAATTACAGAAATGTTAATTTAACTTTCTTTTGGAAATTATGTTATTTCATTATCACATTAACGAGTTAATTTAATTACATTGTCGAATTATAATTACACAATCGAATTAATTTCATGAAATCATCGAATTAATGTAATTGCAATTATTAATCTCAAGTACCAGATAATTGTCACTTGTTCTTTACATTGAGAGTTGTTACTTGTCCTTAACATTGAAAGTTGTCACTTGTCCTTTACATTGATAGTTGTTACTTGTGTTTATACTTGTCGGAATAATGATTATGTCTCTAATAGTTTGCTATTGTAATAGAAAGTTGTTACTTGTCCCTTTCGAACAAAGTCTTTGACTTAATTCAATAATAATTAATTGGTAATTTAATAATTATTTTAATTCAAAACCACTGTATTAAATCCAATAATAATTAAATTAATTCAGAAAATAATTTTTTTGAATTATTACTATTGACTTTAATATCTTAATTGTTTTGGTTTATATCAGATTTGTAATAAATTTTAGAACAGCGTTTAATTCTAAAGCAAGTACAATCATTGTTAATTGAGAAAGTGTGTGTATCTAAGTATTTTGTAACTGCGCTTGGTCATTTCCTCTCTTTCTTCCTTATTTAAATTATTATAAATCTTCATAAATTTCCCTGGATGATAATTATCACAATTTTTGAAATTAATTAAGCAAAAATTAAGCTTAAGCAAAATTTCACTGTAATATATACTATATATAATTTTTCAAAAATTAATTATCTTTTCATATGTTATTAAATTTTATTATTTCTCTGAAATTAAAACTATTTCGATATAAATATTATCTTTATCTCAATCTACTGCAAAAAAAAAGAATTTATCAACTTGACTTTGTATCTCGCAGGGTCAAGTAACACGGTCATACAGAAATAACATCGCAGATTCCTGAAATTTGAAATGATTCCAACTTTTCTATTTTTATAATTTTTCTCACATTTCTTCGGAAATAATTGTCATTATTTTAACATTGTATTTTATTTCTAAAAATATATATATATATATATATATATATATATATATTTGAAATAAGAAACTTATTAAAACCTCAAAGCTGTGCACAAATCTTATATTACAGAGTGCTCGCATAATTACAATAATTCGCCTTTTATAAAACTTGATCTCAGAGAATATGTGAGACGACTGTGTGTACGTTATTTGAGAAGGTCTCATTGCGGAAGTGAAATAATAAATAAAATTGGGTCGAACGGTGCATATATACCCTCAACTAAGTATTTGCGTCCAATGGGCTCTTATTCAATACAATGACAATCTGATTTTAAACTTCCAACCTCAACAGCCATTTGTTAGTTCAAGTGTCTCTAACGTGTGTGTGGGGAGTAGATGTATTACGAAAGTTATATTGACTTCCCAGTCTTTTCTATATATCATCTAGATAAAGAATTTTTAAAAACTGGACAGTCATTATGTTCTAAGACTCACACGTCATAGAAGCAAATCATCACTAGCTCTAATATCAATTTATAAAAATTTTTTCCCATTACTATTTAGTCTACTCTCAGTGTTGCATTATGTTCAATTGTGTATTAATTAAGAGGATATTGAGGTAGCTAAAAAAAACTTCAGTGTTATAAAAAATTCAGTGTCAGTGCTGTGAATTTAAAAGTATATTAAAAATTTGTTTTCTTTTGTCAAAATTTTTTTATTAAAAATGATCACAAAGCATATATGGATGTTTCTCGTGATACTAGTGATTTTCATTAGTTGTACAAAATCGTCAGAAAATTTTAAATCATTTAGTAAGAAAAAATTACGAATTTTGGGTGTTTTTCATCATCCAGGTAAAAGTCATTTTGATGTATTTAAACCATTATTGGAAGAATTGGCAAAAAGAGGTCACGATATAACAGTGGTATCATTTTTTCCACGAAATATTAATGATACAAGTGTTGAATATTTGTCAAATTATAAGGATATAAGTTTAATTGGTTCAGTGAATGTTTGGTTAAATGTTGTCGATTTAAATATGATTAATTATTCATTTTTAAATCATTTTTTGGAATTATTTAAACTTCGTGAATGGGGTTTACAACATTGTGAAGCAACACTTAATTTACCTGATGTACAAAAATTAATTCATTCAAATAATGAAAAATTTGATTTAATTTTAACGGAAAACTTTAATAGTGATTGCTTTTTAGGATTTGTTTATAAATTTTCAACGCCATTTATTGCATTAACATCACATCAAATAATGCCATGGGGTTATGATCGAATGGGTAGTCCCGATAATCCAAGTTATATATCAAGTACATTTTTGGGTTTATCATCGAAAATGAATTTTCAAGAACGTGTTATTAATACTATTTTTACAAATGTTGCAAAATTAATTTACAACACTGCATATCAATGGTCAACGCAAAAAATTGTTAACGATGCATTTGGTGTTAATATTCCGTCATTGAATGAAATTGCCAGGCAGACGTCAGGCTATTTACATAATACACATTATTCTCTACATGGATCAAAACCCACTGCTCCAAATGTTGTGGAAATTGGCGGTATTCATATTGGAAAAGCAAAATCATTGCCTGAGGATATCAAAAGATTTCTCGACGATGCAAATGAAGGTGCACTTTTGTTTAGTTGGGGATCAATGGTCAGGGCATCTACATTACCAAAAGAGAAACTAATGGCAATTCTTCAGGTGCTTAGCAATATACCGAGGAAAGTGATCTGGAAATGGGAAACTGATCAACTTCCTGAGAAACCGAAGAATGTTATGATTACAAAGTGGTTGCCTCAATATGACGTCATGAGTGAGTAATTTGATATTATTATTATTTACAAAAAAATTAGACAAGTAATTTTTAATTTTGTTTTTTAATTATTTATTTAGTGACTTTTGTATTTTAAATTAATTAATAATAATGCTGATAAAATATAACACATGATCAATTAAGTGGAGTTAATAGTTGTTATCTGCAAATTGGAAACAAAAAAAAAAATTATTTCTTCACTCACTAAAAGGAGATAATTTCATTATCATCAGTTGACTCTTCAATTAGCCTACTGATAAAATATTCATTTAATTATATAATGCATGAAGCACGTACACTTTATGTTTGCATTAATCAATAATTGAGATAATGAAGATGCTATCTCTACAATTCACCTCTAGTTTCATTTCAATTTCAATATATATATATATATATATATATATTTGTTACCAATTATATTAACATAATTACCATTTATAAATAATGTAAATTTAAAAATGAATTATTTTTAATTTAAACTATCAATGTTTTATTTCACTTTTTTTCGATTACATTTAAAAAATTTTTGAATTAATTACAGGGGGAAAAAAAAATCTGTTTATAAATTGCAATATTATTTTTTAATTTTATGACTTTTGTGTCGAGTCATTATGGAAAAATCAGTTTTTGTATTGTATACTTCTAGAAAATTGTTTTTCAAATTATAAATGAGAAAATAATATTTGTCATTTTAAATTTTTATCTATAAATTTGACAAGGAGGTCGTTATCTTGATCGAGTTTTTCTATTTACATGCCGATAATTCTTATCTTTATTGTTTCTTAGCAAACGTCCACTAATTTAGTTAATTTAAAAAAAATATATATATACATTTTTTTTTGTTTGACCAAATTCAAAAATTGATATTTAAAATTTTTTAATTAAAACTTTATTATCTTTCAATTTATGCTGCGTTATTAACTCTCTCTGTGTGTGTATGTACCTACTGGTCAGCTCTATTTTATTCGGAACATCAATTATGAATTATGTTGGATATGAATTTCCAAAAACTTTAAACATAAATCAATTTCACGCGTTATAAACCAAAACACTTGAGATAATGTAAACTGGAACTATATCAAATATTCCAAACCAATTTAGTTCATGATCAATTTAGTCCACGATGCAAGTGCACGGTGTAAACTAGACCAGAGACCACAGAGTTGGCTAGAGTTCAAGTTATGTAACTCGGAATGTGTCTTATTTCAAGGTGTGTGTGTGAGAGAGAGAGAGGGATAGAGAAAGACAGGAAGAGAATTTGATTCGTACTCGCGTGCTGAGAATAGAAGGAATGCATCAACTGGGTTGTAATCCAACCCTTTGTTTTATATCAGCAGGCCTAAATGATTAGAAATAAATTGCAATGAAAAAAATTTATTTACTTCAAATATGTTAATTTACTATTATTAATTTGACCTTAAAAATAAAATGGAATTTTTTAAGAAAACCTGGCGCAAAAAAAGGGTTTAAAAAAAATTGAATCACAAAACCGTATGAAATGAAAACAATTTTATATTACTGATTTAAATTAAAAAACGAAATGTTGATTTTACAGAAGGAAAAAAAAAAATTTATTTCATTTAAATATAAATTGACTATTATCAGATAAATATTTTCCTTGAACCAAATAATTGTTATTTAAGTTAATTAAATGGTATTTGCTAGAAAGAAATATTTATTTGAACAATAGTTAAGTAGCGAGTATTTTATTGTAATTTTTTTTCCAACATTTTATATAAAGTGAAAAAAAAATGTATATCTATATGTAATTAGCAAAAAAAAACCGCTATAATTAAAAGATAAAATTCTACTTTTTTAAACACATTCTATATTAGCAAACTTCTGTTTATTTTTATATTAATTTATAACATTCTGTTAATAAGTGTTTGTATTTTATAATAAAAAAGTGTTCTAATTTTGGAATAAAAAATGAAATAAAGATCCACAATTATTCAAAAATTTGTTTTTGACACATTTGGTTAATCGTTTGATACTTGTTTACACAGATAAAGAATTTTAAGTATCAGATACGAATAATGAAAACATAGATAAAACAAAACTTTTTTTTTTCAACTTAAATTATCATTATTTCCATGAATTACAATCTATAATAAGGCGAGAGTATTGTAATAAAAGTGAAACAAAATTTCTCCTTTACTTCACTTTCTTTTTTAGTTCAAGAATGGGTAAAATTAAATTCACTTTGATTTTAATTGAATTAATATTAGTAATTAATATTTTTCTATTTGTAAAAGCAATAAAAAAATTGGAAAAAATTAGTGAAAATACAAATAAATTTACAACAAATTCTAAAGAAAAACTTCAAATACTTGCTGTATTTCATCATCCGGGAAGAAGTCATTTTCAAGTATTTTCACCACTTTTAGATGAACTTGCAAATAGAGGACATAATATAACAGTTGTGTCATATTTTCCAAAAAATATTCCATTTAAAAATTACAATGATATTGATCTTTCTGGTCAAGTATGGACAGAAGTGATTGACCTCTCAGAAATTGATTATTCCATCTTGAGTGAAGTGAATGATGTAATTCGGCTTCATGATTGGGCACTACATCATTGTCAAATTGCACTAAAGGTACCCGCTGTGCAACAGTTAATTCAATCAAATTCAAAATTTGATTTAATTATTACAGAATTATTTAATACTGATTGCTTTCTTGGATTTGTGCACAAATTTAAAGCCCCATTTATGGCATTAACTTCACATGAAATTGTACCATGGTCAAATGAACGTTTTGGAAATCCTGATAATCCAAGTTTTATACCAACATCATTTATGTTTTATTCTCAGCGTATGACATTTTTTCAAAGAACATATAATACATTATTTTTAATGTTTGCAAAATTTAATTATAATTTAATATCACGAAAAGATACATATAAAATGGTTAAAGAAACATTTGGTGATGATACACCACAATTAACTGATATTGCTAAAAAAACATCGGCAATGTTAGTTAATACACATTATACACTTTTTGGTGCAAGACCATATAATCCAAATGTCATTGAAGTTGGTGGAATACATATTAAAGATGTTAAACCATTGCCGGAGGATTTAAAAAACTTTTTAGATAACGCCACAGAGGGTGTTCTTATTTTTAGTTGGGGATCAATGATTAAGACTTCGACATTACCGGAAAAAAAGTTGAAAGCTTTAATCAAAGTTTTTAGTGGAATACCAAGGAAAATTCTTTGGAAATGGGAAGGTAATGAACATCCCGAGTTGCCTACGAATGTAATGATTAAAAAATGGCTTCCACAATTTGATGTATTCAGTGAGTATTTATAAAATAATTCAAATATATATTTTATTAGGAAAATTAATTTAAAAATCTAATTTTTAATAATTAAATTGAAATCACAAAAAAAAATTTTAACATTTCAAATAGAACTAAAAAATATTAGTTTTTATTATCAAATAAACAATATACTTAGATACATTGAAAGAAACATTCTTCAGGTATATGCATTTGTTGAAATATTTTTTCTATACAAAAATCTTCGTTATAAATTTTATATCCATTATCACAAAATTCTGCAAATAGTTCAAAAAAATTAATAATATTTTTCTCACTTTACACATTTTTAAAAGATTTCTTATTATAACTATAGAATAAACATATTTGAATAATAATTAAAAATATGAAAATAAAGAAAATAATTAATAACTACAAGAAAAAAAAATTATAATTTTATTAAATTTTCAAATTACCACTGGCCTCCGATTGCTTTGTATATAATTTCATTTCGGCAACACTGAATGAGAAAAATACAAAATATATCGTAAAGATGAACAGAAATTTAATAAATGTCATGGTAATTAGACAAAAAAAGTATTAAATATTTTCAAATTTTTAGATGATTACACTAGACAGAATGATATATTATATGATGAAGAAATTTATATATAAAAAAAAAAATTTTTTAAAGACCTAATTTAAAATAATTATTCAAATTTAATATTGCATCATATATCATTGTGTCAGATCTAGAATATACAATATAACAAAAAAAGCAAACAAGGACAAAAATGTGTTCTCATAAAATTTTTTTGTCTAATATTTTAATTCTTGGAATAAAAAAAATTTTGAAATATTGAACACATTTTGTCATAAATTAACAGAGAAGAATAAAAAAAACAAAAAATTCTTGTATTAAATTGGAACACATAATGAGACTTTAGAGTACATGTAAGATCAAAGAAGTTTCAAATGTAGATGTAGGTTCAATTATTAGATAAAAGTTTCAAAATTTTTGAATTTTCAAAAATATTTTTAAACCTCCTGTTGTATAAATGATTCTCATAAACATAACGATTTCGTTCTTAATAGGCCTCCGCTTGTTTTATTAGCTTAACATTGACACTTTATATGCTTGTCATACATGTATATGAAGCATAAATTTACGTGGTTCACGTGTTTATAAATGTAAAGCATGACTGACTTGTCGCAATCACAATATTGGTTTAAATTCCTCTATAGTATGCATTTCGTCTATTTATAAAATAAACGCGCAAAGATTGCGTTCAAATTTGCATAGTTTGCTATTCATTATTTGCTTTCGCAGTTATAATCAATGTAATTCAAGAGGATAATCCTCTGTTTCAAAATCATATAATTTTAATTAATTATATATTGATTCTGATTTTGTAAATTCAATTTTTTGAAACAATTTTGTTTTTTTCCTTTTCACATTTAATAAATCAATTAATATGGCGTCTGCTTTACATTGTGGACAGAGCATTATTGATGTTGCGCGCGCACTTCCTCACTTATGCTTCTTAACCTAACATTGAGGAAAAGTTTTTACAACAGATGATAATAAAAAGAAGTAATTTTTTTCTGTAGAAAAATTTTAAAGTTTTTTTTTTTATTGTACTCGATTATTATATTTATTTCTTAATTAAGTTAAACTCTTGCCTTATAAGTATATATATAGTCTTTGATCTTAATTACTTTCAACTGTCCATGTCT